ACAAGACAAAGGAATTGGGTCAGAATATATTTTTAGATCTTTTCCAGCCAAAATTATTTTATTAATTGGGGATAATGAACTTCTTTCTCTCTGTCACTCCCACCCCCCCAATTTTAAAATGTGACATCACTATGACTATTCTAAAAGGCTGTCCAATTCTAATTCCATATAGCTGAAGATATTTAAATCATCATTTCATTAAGAATCTGCATTTGTTATATATGATCTTTTAAGTAGTCTAAATAAGTAATGGCTATAATTCATGTCATTATAATTCTTGAGAGTAACAGGTAGATAAGAACTAGGAAACTCAACGTGAAAAATCTAATAATGGCAATGATCTTAGGAGACATGGAGGGTCTGGGATGCTTCAAAGTGATCAAGCACCCAGAACCTAGCGTCTCTCACTAGAAGCCATTCAGAGATTATATATAACTCTGAGCTAATAGATAGCTAAGAAATTTTAAGACTTGAAGACAGAAAATGGGTAAGATTTTGGATCTGCTGATATTTTCTATTGATATTATTTTGTCTTCTTTGCTTTTTAAGGGATTGTAAAGTAGGTACATTTTGTCTTTGACCCCATTTCTCCTGTTCTCAGCTTTAGCTCTTATTCCTGGGTTCTGCTCCTCTCCCGCTGAGCTCATCTGCTCTTTACCTGTCTTCTGCAGCAACCTATCCAAGCTAATTCTTTTTGGGTAATGAATCAGGTTTAAAATGGGTCACTAATATCGTTGTTGTCAAAAATGTTCATTTCTTGCCTGAATAAGATCTGAGCTAAGGAACACCATCTAGTAACTTATTTGTAAGAGCTTAATGGAGCACCCTTCCCTTAGCAATTGGTAAGTAAAACTAGGGAATTCAGTATGTTAACCTAAAAGAAAGAAATTCTAATGCTAGGTGCAATACAAAATAATTTTGGGTCCCGGGGCTTTTAATATTACAAATCTGAACAAGCTCCCATTCTCCCACTTCTTCCTCTTTGTCATAATTTTTCATTTAACAGACCTTGCTCATCTGCTGCATCCTGCAATCCAATTTTGCTTTGCTTTCCTTTTTTCTCATCTTTCTATGAATTTTATTTTTGATTTTAAAAATGTACTTAACATTTAAAAAAAGTGTCTTTCTTGCCTTCTGGTTGGATTCAGTCATACAAAATCTCATATTGTTTTTCTAAATGACCTCATAAATCTTCTTCTAATTTTGCTAACTCTATTTCTTATAAATTCATTAACAGTCAAATTTACCACTATTTCCTTTGCTGTTCTTGTTTGTTAGTTTTTGCTATTCAAATTTCAATGTAAAAGAAGCACCACTTATATTTTACTTCATAATATATTCTCATTGTTATTCCCACTTAATGGGAGCCTTAAAAAACTTGGTTAGAAGCATTTCTTCCCTTAGTAATATTTTTGCTTAATTTTTCTGCCTATTTCTAGAGACAGTTTGATTAATTAGTTCATAGTTCATGACACAGAGATTTGGTTATAGTCATAAACCAGTTTACACAACTCTTAAAATTGTCCTGATAACCTCACAGTCTCACTTAATATATGTTCAATTTCTTCATTCCTTTCTTCCACATCTTTATATTATCTCTAAGGCTTAGCACTTTATAGCTGCCACGTATGTATTTGTTGCTAGGCACTTTATAGATGCAACGTATGTATTTGTTGTCTGAGTGAGTGAAAAAGCCATGAAATCTTTCTTCCACCATCGTTTTTGAGCTGCTTTTCAATTAGTTCAAATAATTATGATAGTGAAATAAGTCAAAGATAAATATCATATTGTTTCACTTTTATGTGAAATCTAAAAAACACACACAAATGAGTGAACAAACAAAACAAAAGAAAACAGATGAATAGAAACATAGGCTGAAGAGATGACTACCAGAGGTTCAGGGGTAGTAGGGGGTGGTGGGTGAGAAAGGTGAAAAGGAATATAGTCAATAATACTGTGGTAAATTTGCACAGTGACAGATGATTATAACATTAGTGGGGTGAACACATCTAAGGTATAAAAATGTTGAGTCACTATATTGTATATCTGAAACTAATGTAACAAATATATAACTACTATCTATAATAATAAAAGCATAATATGCTAATTAGACCAGACGACCTTCCAGATGAAACCAGGGCTGCGAGGGAAGCCTGGGTCCCAGGTGCCAGAGGGAAGTCAGTGCCAACAGCCGGGGGAAGGAAGGCCTACTCTTGCATGAATATTGTGCATCATGTTTCTAGTACTTAAATTAAAAAGCTGAACCAGTTATAAAGTTGTTAACTTGGTATTTAAAAGCATGTAAAGATGACTGTCTATACTAATAAAAGGGTAATATGTTAATTAGACCAGACATATTCCAGACGACCTTCTGGATGTCCTTCTGGACAAAGACATGGTGGCGAGGCCAAGACAGAGGCAGTTAGGGGCAATCAGGCTGACAGGGGAGAGCAGTTAGGGGGATCAGATTGGCAGGCAGGTGAGTGGTTAAGGAGCCAGCAGTCCCAGGTTCTGAGAGGGATTTCTGATTGCTGGTGTAGGCCCAATCAGGCCTAAACCGGTAGTCGGACATCCCCTGAGGGGTTCCGGATTGGAGAGAGTTCAAGCTGGCCTGAGGGAGGCCTGCCCCCCATGCAGGAATTTCATGCACCAGGCCTCTAGTATATTTTTAAAAAGGTAACAACTGTAGGAAACAGCTACTATTCTTAGGGTTGGAGAAACAAAATTAAGAAGTTAGAATTATTAAAATTTAGTGAGTTAGAAAAGGAGTCTTATGAAGCTGAATTCCCCTCTGTGAA